TGTATATCTGGATATATTTGGTATGTGTTCACTTTTTAAAAAATACAGACATGATAAAAAGATGAATGGTTAAATTTTTGAGTAAATATTTCAAATTAGCACTGCTGATAAACTTTTATTAACTACTTTAATTAGTGATAAATCATTTAATTATCAATAATTAATTCTTACTTGTAGAAGTCAAAATTGCTAAGATCTAACATTTATCCGTGTGGTTACAAAAAGTAGTTAGTATTGGTTTCCCGGGTAGGAGGCACTTCAAATTATTTTCCTACTAAAATGTGTTCAATACCAAAGTGTCTGTCCCACTTTCACCCTCTCCAAAAAATCTGGTTGTTTTAGTAGAGTGCTTTCAAGAAGACGTTAACATAACAAAGTCCAACAGCATTTCTTTGAGTGACATGTTAGTTTATTAAATTACATTATTAGTCATTTGGACTCAACACTTACTCTGAATCCTAATTAACCACATAACAACTAACCATAACACCACCACGAAAGGATGTCATTTATAATGGTGAATAATAATAGTAGTACCTCTTCAGATTAATTTACATTCAACTCAAGCACCATCTAACATTTCTTATGTTTGTAGCAATGTCAAAATATAAATAACGTTCAAGGTCCAATCTAAATCTCACATTTTCCATGAAACATCTTCTGAGTCTTTTATCCTTTTGCCTTTTCCTCCAAATTACTATATACTTTAAGTTAGAAGAGCCAAGTGAACCACATATTTTCATGTGAGCCTTCTAACGTGCAGTGATGATCATTGAGTAAGTACAGCTTCCCGTGGGATAAACTACTTATTTCATAGTTGTCCTTCAGGTTACAGTCAGCCCTTGTTCTCCTCTCTTCCCTTCCAGGAAAGGTTTTGTGTATATTTGAGCTTTACATATATAATCTCATCCAATGTGTTTGATTTTACAACTTGGTGTCTATATTATGTATTTACTTGTTATCTACTTGTAGATGATGACAAAATGTAAATAGTAGAACAAAAATTAAGGAAACAAACCCTCTGGTGCCTCTTAAGTTTGACTACATATATATGCAGCCCTTAGCATTTAGTATGAGAACAATTGCAAAGGCAAAGTTAAAGTCACAAAGTCACATGAGTATCTTAGGCTTTCTTTTTTTCCTGGTTATTAATATTTGTTTCTTCCCTTCAATAATGTATAACTGAGAAATAATCATTTGTCCTCACACCAAAAGTAAAATGTTAATTAAACAAATATAAAGTAAGTTTATGTTAAGTGTAAAGTTCTAGGTAAGATTTTTGTGGACAGTCTATTGCAACTGCAACTGACTTTAATTCCACTGAGCTTAGGTCCATGAACATGCTGGATTGCATCTGACAATTAAGGTTGCCAAGACTGCCAACATCTTAGCTACAAGCGGGCTTAGTTTCAAGGGGACTTATCTATGCTGAAAATGTCTTTTCTGGCATGCTTTTATTAATCCCTATCAGGTTTAAAGAAAGAAGTCACTTCCTATATGATTTCAACAATTACAGGTTTCCAAAGAGGAAATCTCAAGATAATTAATTCAAATGCTCAGAGTCTGTTTTGTTTACTGCGTTACCCCAAGGAGGGTTCAGAAAATTATGTAATTAACTATGTACAACCCAAAGGCTTCCTGTGGGTGATTCTGTATTGGCTTAATATTTTCATTCATTAAACTTGCTTAAAATGGATTAGAATTATATGCACATGTTATATTTGTTATAGGTTTGAAGAATACTATTCTTTGGATTTCAACTTAATAAATACTTCACAATAGAGAACTTGTGGATCCTATTATCAAACATATTTTATTAAAATTTATTCCAGTACAACATAATATGGTGGATATCAAAAGCAGAACCATATTAAAATGCATAGGTATTATTATTAATAGAACCATATTGGGTTTTCAAAAAATAGCATCTAGTAAGGCCCTCTAGGATTAGTTTCAGGCCCATAGCTATTTAACATATTTATTAACAATCTGGATAGAGTGCTGAGAAGCAGATGATTCAAAATTGAGAGGAAAAGCAAATACTATGCTTGAAGATTTAAGATTCAATAAGATCTGGAGAGATTAAAAGAATGGGCAGAGGGATACTTAAGTCAGCTTTAGCACATGCATTAGTAAAGGAAGAAGCAAATATTTTAAATTGGAACTTTAAGCAGCCTCCTCTTTTGTGTTGGGGGAGTTTGCAATTCTTTATTTTAGCTGAACATTCAATATGTATATAATTAAATTACGTAATTATGCACATTGTTATTTAAGATGCATGCATATACATACGAGGGCCAAAAAAGGCACTGAGCATTCAGATCTAAAACAATGTCAGAATTATTGCCATAAAATAGCTATGGATAAAAGGCAAGTTTTATCATAAAATGATAAAAAATTCAGCAGTTGAATATACAACCAGCAGCATGAACTTAAATCATAAAACAGGATTAAACCACAGCTGGGGCACAGTTCTCTTGTTCTCTATAAAGAACATACTGACAATTTGGAAAACATATAAAGAATACCCAAAGAGAAAATAAGTCATAAAATAAATCAAATTATGAAAAATTTAAAGAACAAAATGAGTGATGAGTATACACTTATGATGAATATAAAGAATTATGAAAAATGCTTTAATCATTATATAAAATTTGCTGAAACATATTTTTGTGAAACAAAGAAATTGGTATTACTGAAACATTTTAAAATGAACAAAATCCTATATTGTAATTGCAATAAAGATACAGTGGTCTGGACTTCAAGAAATATGTGCTTATGGTTCTTCAAATAGATAATTTTCCTATCATTTTTCTGATATTTTATCTTGTATTTTCTTAACCACCCCTTATGTTATTCAGTTAACTCACTGTGGGAGTTTTAATTCTGAAAACATCCAATTTCCTAATTTTGAAATTTTCTACTCTTTCCTGATAGGTTTTATTTGGATAGTCTCATGACTTGTCCATAATTATACATGATCTCATTTTATTAAAGATATTTGTGGAAGAAAGCTGGAAAGGCTAGACTATGTAAGTTAGGACAATTTAAACATTATAGAAATACAGCCTACATCTATTCACATATAAGATAATAAAGAGTGAGGATACAGACACAGCACTCAGTGGAACAGTATGTTGATGTCCAATGAGGTTTAATAGCAGTAGATAACATTAGTTAGATGTTAGAAATTGTATAAGCATGCATTGAGAATATTCAGAGCTAATTAGGCATAGAGAATATTAGGGAGTGATTAGGAAGTTAATGCCTGGTATCAATTATTTTAACAAAATGAAGAGGGATTTAACAGCATTGAATATAAATTATGATTTCTAGTCTATGGACAAATTTGGTAGGTGTGGGTCTATTAAGGTGTGATTACATAAAAAAGAAATATCATGTTACTTTTCTAACCACATTTTTCATATTCTCTATTCATCCAAAGAAAATTAGAGGGAATGAATATGGCATTTTAAATGTCGACTGGTTTTAAAGGAATAGCTATTTGAACAGCAAGTGTTCTGATCAGAATATTCAATAACATTTAATTGTTTTATTTAAGAAAAACACTTAATTTGTACATAAATGAATACATTGACATGCAGAAATGAGACACTTAAAGATGAAATGTTGTTAATAGAAAACTGAGAACACTCCAGAATCCTGAAGAGATTCTTTTGCATGATGGTATGTTTCAGTGTTTCCAATTTAGGTGGGTTAGTGGCTTTGAGTGATGCTTCCTTATAAAGGCTTTGATAAACCTGAGAAGACAAGTGAAACTAGGTTATCTATCTGTAATAAAAAAAAAAAAAAAAAAGGAGGGGGGGTAAAGACAAGCACCTATAGTTGAAAATTAATTGATTGAGTAAAAAACTTACATGAAGTGTTTACATATTTACACTAGGCTTAAAATCTGACAATATAAATAGAAACACGTAACATTTAGGACCATTTGTGTTATAGCACATCTATTCTCCAAGACATTATTTTATGCAACAATTAGTTTTTTTATGACTTACCTTGAAAGCTGTAATTTTTAACCTATCATGTCCAGAGTTTTCTAACATGACAATTTCCTTCCTTGAAACATTATCCTTTGTACTTTTTCTGTGAGGATGTTTGCTTTTCTTCTCTTATCACAATTTTTCCTTCTTTTCTGGTTGCTAGTCATCATTAATGCATTGATGCATAATTAGTATAAAAATACTCTTTAAATTTATTCTACCTAGGATATCATCCACCTATTAAATTTGAGATAAATCTCATCATTAAGCACACAAGCCCTGCCTCTTCCATGGTAGCTGATAAAAAAGATGAGGCTGTACTTCTTAAAATACCATTCAAATGGAAAAGATATGTTCAATTTTCATTAAAATCTAAGTTTTTTTATTCTAGGAGATTAATTTAGTGACATTTTCTTATCTCACATTACCCTTGGTTACAATTCAACAAAATAGAACTGGGCTTTCATGTTTTTATTGCTTAAATGAAGAATAAACATTATTATGCATAGTATTATGTATTCTAACTGAAAATTACTTTTAAAATAGATATGCATATCTTATACACGTTTTTAATTTTAAAGAAGACATTTTAAGAAAATTAAGACCCTATATAATTATACTGCTATGGCAACGAGACTGAATTTTTCAAAATTCCAAATATAAAAGATACTGAACACTAATAAGAAAATATAATAGAATGGCTTTTGCATATTTAAGATTATGCCATTACACATTGTTTAAAAATAAATATAATAATAACAGTGCATGTTCAGTATAATGGGATTTGCTAAAAAACAGTAAAAAATGCTTATATAAATACAACAGGCAAAACAAAGGCAACAAAATTGGAACTTTAGACACACATTCATTGTTTTTCTTGTGTATGTGTGAAAAACTGACGTGTGCTCATCTAAAGTGCATGATATTATTTGTAATTTTTTCCTGTTAAATAATTTTGGTGATTGACAAATTTATGCATTAACCTAGTAACATAACTTTTTTTTTTAACTTTTAAAAACTGTTTATTTTCCGTTAACCTTACTTCCACGTTCTGTTCCTGTCGGAAGAACAGCTTCAGACCACTCCGTGGTGGTTCCCACCCACTCAGTGGCTTGAGCGGTGGGGGCCGCAGACCAGTCTTCAGTGGCAGGCTGGGCACTCCAGTCTTCAATAGGGAACTGCTGAATAGGCACAGAAGGCAACTGAACGCCCTCAGACCAGTCTGCCACCTCAGGCTGGGTAGCAGTAAACTCGGGAGCTGGAGCCGTCCATTCGCCCTGAAACTCCTCCTTCGTCACAGCCTTTTCAGCAGCAGCCTGCTCTTCCTTTTCAATCTCTTCAGGATCCCTGTAGAAGTAGAGATCAGGCATGACCTCCCATGGGTGCTCACGGGAGATGGTGCCACGCATGCAGAGGACTTCCCGGGCCAGCATCCACCACATGGGACCCACGGAGTGAGCTCCCTTATTATTGCAGGGGTTGGCAATGTCCACATAGCTCAGGGGCGAGTCTGTGTTGCACAGAGCAATGGTGGGCAGGTTAATGTACGACGCCTCTGTGGGAGGCTGGTGGTCAGCCCTGGGATCAGTGACCGCCCAAAGTCTTGGCTCCCGGAAAGCTGCCTGGATCTTGTTAGTGAAGGTTCCAGGAGTGAAGCGGCCAGCAATAAGAGTGGCCCCAGTGGCAGCGGCAAACTTCAGCACCGCTCGCTGGCCAATGTTCCTGGATGATATGACTGATATCAGCACGATTTTCAATGGCAACAATGGCACGAGCTGCCAGCAGAAGCTTCTCCCAGGTTCTCTTCAAATTTATGATGTAGATGCCATCACTTTTCCTTTTGTAGATGTACTGCTCCATCTGGAAGTCAAGATTGGTGCCACCTAAGTGGGTTCCTGCTGCAAGAAATTTGAAGACATCCTCCTCTTTCATTTGCAGGACATCAAGGGCTCCGGACATTGTGAAAGTTTCCCTTTAAGTTACGCTGGGAACTCAGAACAACGCCGTACGGACCCCTCTCTGGGTAGCGCGGAAAGGCTAGTAATACAGTGACCAGAATTTCTAATCTGAAGAAGATACCTCACTTTGATTAGCTTTATAATTATCTGCATAAATTATAAATAAAAGGAATAATTGATTTTAAATGGTATCTCTTCTTTTGCCATCATCTATATAGTTCAGCTGTCTTTATGGTAAGCCATAAAGACACTATTCACCACTGCTCCTTTTTTATTTATTTTTAAATCACATATCATTTAGTAGAATTTTATTAGCTTTGCTACATGAGTTGCTATTTTGTACCACAATATTCTCAATTACTAACCTTTTTAAAGTTGGTTTAAAAAAATCATCATGCCTAGAGACAAATATATTATGGGCAATGAGATTCCTTTGTAATTAATTGAGAAGCAAAATAAGTTTTCCTGCCTGTAACTATCAAGGTATCATTGTAGTTCAGTGGAAGTCACAAATCTTGTATTTTCCCCAAACTGGGTGAAACTCAAAGAAATATCGGTAAAAATAGAGAAAAGAGGCTTTTTTAAAATAATGAAACTTTTTACTGAAAATCGATTCACCTCTATTTTTGATGGTTTTGAAAGTTTAATATTAAAACACAATATTTGAGGAAATTTGAAATGCAAAATTTACTCAACAAGACTTCCTCCCCAAGGTCATGTGTCTTGCAGCTTTGCAAGATGCTGTTTTTGGCACATAGGTACCAGGGCTCTGGTACCAGCGCCTCATTAACTTCTTCCACAAAGGGATGAATGCCCTTTCAGAAGAACTAAATGAAAAGTCAGATAAAACTAGGGCAGAAATTGCTGCCATGGATACAAAGCTGGACTCAGTACTATAGTTGCATATCTGAACAAGTTGTAGTACAAAACTGCAGGAAGAGCAAGAGAGGAAAAAAAGAAAGCATGGCAGTAAAAAGAAAAGAATTCCAAGGACACACAATAATCATGACCTCAGTTTAATTCAGTTCTTTCCCAGTCAAAGTCACCCTCACTCCATTAGCATGAAGAGACTGGAGTGAAGGAGGCTGTGAGGGAAAAGCACCTCAAAATCATTCTTCAGACAATCAATAGTCATTTTTACAATATTTAAATAAGGCCCCAAATCAATACACAGTGGAGAGATATCCAAGCTCCCATATAGCTAAAAGAAGGGGAATGGCAAAACTGATAAAAATTAAATTCAAAGTGTCAGATTTAAAAGATGAAGATAAAGAGTAAGGTGTTGCTGGCAAAGGATAAATTCAAGTAAGATATGCCCTCTGTTAATGAAAGCCCTTCTCAAAGAAGAGGACAAACCATGCTTACAAAATATATAAAACATCAGAAATTATTGAGTGAAGTGAAATAAATTTCATATCTTTTACTACACAACTTCATATGTAACATTTCAAACTTAAAACATCACAGTCATTTCAACTGCAATGTCAGATAAAAAGGTTAATAAATTGTGTAAAAACTAATGGAAATTATAAATTGTTGAAATTCATTATTTTACTTCCTAAGGGAGTTACTGCATGCAATTTATATGGTCCTTATGAGATCAGAGTTTGTAACATCTGGAATGTCATCGATATTGCTAAAAACAATAAGTCATCCAGAAAATCTGATGCACCCTTCAGGAATCCTTCAGGAACTTTAGTCTCTTATGTCTTATTTGTGATCAGCTATTTATCAAGTGTCCATCTATAGGATCTATGTCTATAGTTACATTTTAATTTCCTTAGTTAATGTATGTATATGTAACTTCCCTTCACTATGAACTCTTTGGCAGTAGAGATTATTTGCTCTTTTATTAAATTGAGGTATAAACCAATGGGTTTATAGCACTGTGAGTTTCAAATGTGTAGTTCACACCTTGACAAATGTAGATACCACACCACACACCCTACCAAGGTCTAATAACCAAGGAGATTTTTGAACTTAATCACATATCCTTAGTATGTGGCACTGTTTGTGGAATAAATTAAAAAAAAAAAAACAGAAAAAGAAAATAAAATCAATTATGCTTAATAGGATTGGAAGAAACTACATAATGCAAATAGGAAAGGAATATAAGGTGATGACAGCTGAATTTCTTTAAGCCCTAGGGTATAAAGGATTCTAGATATTATCTCATCTATCTTACATAATGTTTCAGGTGTTTCTGTGGTACTTGCATTTAAAAAGTGACAATTAAGCTATGTTTTGATCAATAAATGTGTTCAACAGGCAGTCAAGGGTAGAATGAAACCCTAGAGAATATGCGTTAGCAAGTGTCTATGAGGAATGAAGCAATATACTTCACAATATTGCAATATTTAGAATATTGGAATATAAATTGTCTGGCTTAAGTAATTACATGAAAAATTTTATAGTTTATTGTTATGTAATTTACCCCTATGACATACTAAATAAACATAAGGTCTATGAAAAAACATTATGCAAAAGGATTCCTTCAGAAATCCCGGGCCATTCCTTTCACCACTTGTAACCCTCTTCCAAATACATCTGTGCTGTTCTAGATCTAGTGCTATTTTAAACAAACCTAGATCTGTGCTATTCAATATGGTAACTACTAGCCTCTGTGGGTAGTTAAATTTAAATACAATTAAAGATTCAGTTCCTCATTTGCAGTAATCACAAGCGCCCAATGGATCAATAGCTATACCTACGAGAAGCACTCTACTGGATGAACAGAGATGGGGCTTCTCCATGATCTCAGACCTTTCTGTAAGTGCTGTTGGAAAAAACAGAGAGATAGGTGGAATGAGAAATAAAGCTGGAAATCTCTTCATGAGTGAGATAACAGAGGTCTTTCTTGGACTTACTCAAGATTTGAAACATTGTTCTCTTGAGGATAAGAAGGCACTAAAAAAATTAAAGTAGGAAAAGATAGTAACAGGATTCTCAGATGAGAAAAAAAAAAATTATAGTTCATTGAGCTTAGTTTTTGTGTGCCATTGTGCTATCACCTGGAGCCAGGCTTTGGACACTCCCTCATGCTGACTATGATGCAAACATTCAAAACAACTTCACTTCTGTGTCTGTGATGGGAGCATCTCCTCTCACAGCTCTGACACAAAATTTCACCACTCTTCTTTAGAACTTCGTATCTATTGTATTGTTGTGTCATCAGAAAAAATGAGGCTCTGTGTCTGCTGGAAATCTTATCTAAGCTACCAGTGAAGTTGATTTAGGAACTTCTTTGTCTCCTTATGAAGAGGTATTCATCTGGAGCAACCTTTGCATTTTGTTATAGCTACTACTTCCTTGCCTTTATCCTCTATTAAAATGCATTGTGCATGACAGCATGAACCATATTTACATGGTTTACCACTTGATTTTATCTATCTGTGTGTGTGTGCATAATTATATATGTACATAGATTGTATTTATTCCTAGTAATTGCAGTAATTTTATTATTTTAACACATTTAGCTATCAGAAACCTAAATATTAAATAGACCAGATAATTTATTCAGAATCAGTCAGCTAATAAACTGGGCACTGACATTTCAAACTACAAAGATCAGACCTCACTCTAGTTACACTGTGAAGACTGGATTAGAGTATGGATGTAAACAGATCTTGGAAAGCTAATTAGAATCTGTTACAGTAGTTGAAAAGTATAATGAAAAGAATTTACCTAAGGTAGTAATATAGAAATAGAAAAGATGAAACATGAATTATAAGATAAACATTTTAACAGAACTTATTTCATCAAGGATATAAGGAGCTGGTGGTGGAAAGAGACATGTCGATTATTATTCAGATTTCTGTTTTAAATGACTCACTCAGGAAATAGAGCTGTACTTCATAACACAGTGATTTTAGTATAAACATCTGTATACTTTTGAGCCCAAAACTAAAGTTTTTTTTTTTTAAATAAATGCAAGTGTGATCAAATGATGTTAATGACATCTTCCTAAATTAATGCTGGAAGTGGGAAGGAAAGGTAACAAAGAGCAAAGCAAATTGTAGTGAATATAGAACAATACTAATATTTAAATATAAAACAAAGTGAAATGAGCTCACAATGAAATTTGAGAATCAGGGATAATAATGTAGGGAAGGAATGAAACAGAATGCAGAATTTCAAGGAAAAGAGGCACTCACCTCTGACAAATAGTGTGAAAGATTCAACTATGACAGCATCTTGAAAATTGATTAAATACAGTTATTAAATGTTCATCAGTGACAGTTTCATAATATTTTCAGTGTTGTGGTGGTCTAATGAAGTGAATTGATGAGTTAGATTATGTTGTATTCATTTTTTGTACGTTTTGAATTTTAGAGCATAGTAAAGATGTAACACACATCATTCAGCTTATTCGAAAGATGTATCCTGCCTTCTTTTCTTCTACTGCTATTGAAGATTCAGTTAAAGTACCACCACTCTTGAAATGACTTTTTCTGTTACTTTTGTCTTGCTATTATAGTGTCTTCCTTCTGTCCTTGTGGAGCATCTAGTACTTATTTTTACCATTATAGGTATGAATAGGTAGTATCTTATCCATCTGCCTATTTTCCTACTAAATATAGTTTCTTATAGCCAGGAACTATACTTCATTAAGTTGATTAAAAATGATTTACACAGCTACTCACCAAAAACAAAACCAAAGAAAAAATACAATTATTGGTAAAACAAATATATTCAGTCTCCTTATGGTGTTTGCTCTTTCCTATTCATGCCACACTTCCTGGAGATGGAACTAATTAGAGAATAAAGACTGAGCTGATAGAAGCCAACAACTTACATTATCAAAGAAAGCACTGTGATAGAAGCCAACAACTTACATTATCAAAGAAAGCACTGACATACAGTTTTACTGTCTTCAGAAAAAATGGATTATCCATATGACCACTTTGTACAGTAAATCCAATTTTTCCTAGGGAGTTTATAAGTAAGAGGCAAGTGTCTGCATGACTAACTGGAGGGAAACATAAAGCAAAAACATACTCTATTGCTTATTTTTAATTCAGATTATAAGTATTAAGGTAGCAAAAGGGAAAAAGATCACACTTTTTAGAT